AAGTTTAGGGCACTAATAGATGGCTGTGTTTGGATACTATTGAGCAAAGACAACAAAGCAACTCCGTTTTAAATTTCGCTGATTAACATAGAAGTACACTTTATTGAAATATCATTTTATTTATATCTAAATAATTCACAGAAACCAAATATGTAGATGTCAGATTTTAACTTTAAACGTTGTTGATCACCCTATAAGTATACAATACCAATCAATGGCGTTAATGTCGCAGGTTGACGAAAGCAATAATTCCGTCTGTTGTTTTGGACACTGGTGGCAACTGCTTTAGATGGCTAAATTAAATAATTATATAATCACCATTGCAAAGTTTATAAATTTTGATTAAACTAAAGACACCGAATAAAATTCCCATAGCGTTAACTACAGTACCCATAACTATCTCATTTATTATCAATTTATCACCTAATCTATAGATTTACATCATTGTCGTTCTCTTTTTAAGCGTTCACCAGATACAGACTTTCTGGTCTACCTCGTTTTAGGGTTTCGTAGTTCTGACAAGGAACCCTTATAGTTTCGTTATGTCCGTCCCCAGTTTTGCTCGAAAACTGTTAGCACTAGAGACCTGTTATTTTGTGGAGATATATATATCAATCATCCTGACATAAAGGTAGAAAAAAAATGGGTACCTAGATCCCCTACATGTGACCTGGAGATGATTTTATTTTTTTATCGTCTATCCCATCGCATGGGCTTCTTATGATTATTTTTCGATTTAGAGAACCGTTTGAAATATGGGCGTCCCCTCCCCTTTAAAAGCTAAACTATTGGCTTGAAAATCTTGGAAAAATTCATGATATGCTTTTAATGAACTTAACAAAAATTATAACGATTAAAACAGATTGTTAGTTTAAAAGTATTAGTCCAATTCAATTCAAGTTCCAATTATGTATTAGAAAATTTCTGACCTAATAAAAAATCGTAAAAATGACTGACGAAGTAATTGCTTAAAATATAGACACTTTCCAAATTAAATGTGGTGACAACGAGCAACTACGGAACCCTACACTGCGCGTGGCGACACGCACTTGGCTGGTTTTATTGGTAGTGTAAAGCTCGAATATAGAGTACTCCCACCTATCAAGGCTGCTACCAGCCTAGTGGGTATTGCAAATGGTGCAATCATAGCATAGCAATTGTTTTCCAAATATTTTTTCTACCTATAAACAAAATAAGAAAAGTATGTATAAATTAGCGAATAATTAATTACTACTTTTTTATTTTTCATCATTTAAATATTAATAATAATAACGTTTATTTTTGAACAAAGAGAAATACAGCTTTTGGATCACAATTCCCGGTAAGTATTATTAAATACTTATAGTGGAAATTCCCGCTCCCCCTAGATCAATTGACACTAAACTCATTTGTACAAGAAATAAAAGCTAAGAAACTATAAACAAAGCCTCTTATATGTGAAAATAACAGAAGTATGTAAAATTATGATTCTCACTATCTTTACTTATAAGTATTTTAAAGAGAATATTGTAATATTATAAGAATCCATTTCAAAAATTCATTATTTATTATTATTATATTTTCAACCATTAATCTCATTATCGTTGATTAACCTGCTCGATTAATAAATCTAAAGACAAAAAATTCCTTGGAAAAAAAACTCCTCCAAAAGGAAATATTTCTAGTAAAAAAAAACTTTATAACTACATAATAATTATATGAGTGACATAGGCTATATTTTACCGGGGCTAATAGCTAAATCGATTATGATGAATTTCCCTATAGAAATAAATGGGACCTTGGTTCTAAGCTACATTATCGAAATACTTATAGGGCTAGGGTGATGGAAGGGGTGATTTACCTATAAAACTTTATATTTTTAAAACTTTATACTTTATTTGCTTCGAATTTTACAGAATTATAGTTACAAAATCAACATTATCGTGAGCTGATTTATTAAGTAGATTATGTTAAGTAATCCTTTATTAACATGAAGTAAATTTGTTAAAATTAACTTTGAAAACAGTATAGTTATAAGGTTTTATTAAATTTAAATGACCGTAAGGTTATATAAATTATGTTAATAAATAAATATGCATTATGTTCATGAAAATTTTATTGTTTTTGCAGTGCAGGCTAAAATATCTCGCAGTTGGGAGATTTTTGCATCTTAAGTGACACTGATTGTTATATTTTGGCCAATTCATTAAATAGCTACAAAAAATATTATTTATATTTTATTATTACGTATGATATATATTATTGCTAAGTTTCCTTTAAATTCAATCAGTATTTTCGGATGAAAGAGTAACAAAGATTCATTCAAACGTAAGATTCAAATTAAAAGCGTGGTAAATATACAACTTTAAATCATTCTAGATCTAAAGCAGTCATAAAAATGAAAAATGGTGTAATGAACCTATAAATAATATTCGATTATCTAGACAATGAAACATAACTCGATACATTTCTTCAAAAAAATTTTTCTTTCTTTCTCACAATCTGGCGCCTAATTTTCCCTATATTGAATTTCGATTACTATTTTAAATTAAGACAAATCGATTGACGTATGAATCATCAAAATCGGTCCACGCATTTGGTTTCTAGTGTGCCACAGGGGAACATACATACATATATAGACTAAGAAAAAAACTATACCCTGTCTGCGCGTCGCGCTTCGCGCTCGTGCATTGCGCATTCGGGTAAAAATGAATATAACCCTTTTAAATTGCTTTTTTGTCTTCATCGTAAAAAAATGCTGTTACCTTAAATAAAATTTTGAACTTAATTGATGACTCTGAGTGAGGTGCGACAGCAACTATTAAATGCCTATCAATGCTTTGTACCCATTAGTGGGGAATATGCGTTGATATACTAGACGTCAACAGCTGGCACATATTAAGTTTTTATGACACGCTCTTAGCCCGGCATAACTTCTAAAGTTATTTTATATATAACTAGTCAGTGGGCACTCATCAGCGTGATAAATTGGTTACCCATACAAACTTCCACCCCCTTTTCAGTCCCTTCAAGGATGTTTTATGGGATAAAAGCTCCCTTCCCTAGGACTCAAGCTATCTCTGTACCAAATTTCATCTTAATTGGTTTAGAGGTTTAAGTGGTATGAGATAAGTAATTTAGTAGTATTAGTAATAAAAGTAATGTTAGAAATAAATTCAGTGACTAATGTTATGGATTATTTACTAGAATTAATGACTGAATCAAAAATTCGAAGTATAATTAAGGGAAACCCTGAAAAGTTGCCGCCTATTGAGGTTCCTTGGAAACATCGAGCCGACAATTTAATACGTACTTAAACGCTCGAGGAAATACTAATTCGTTTAAATGTTGGTGTGTTCTATGAGCTTTGTAGGCAATTTAATCAAGTCCATTTTCATTAAAGGCTATTATAATTATTTGATTGATTCATTTGGAAGTATATTCCATTTCCAATTTCATGGATCATTAAGCTCGGTGGAGCATTATGATTTCAATAATGCTGCCTTTTAATGTTGACGAATGGTGAGTACCTACAATTATACCTTTGATTATTATTAACTGTCTAGATAGAGCGTGGCAGCGCAGATGCGTTGAAAATATATCTCCCATCAGGTGGGGTCTAAGTCGTTTCCAGTCATTTAGTGTTCAATGCAACGCTGAGCAACACGCACGTCAATTGCCGTGTTTCGTATTGAAACTAACTAAGGTAAATTTAAAAACTCAAAGAACCTGACTGTTTAAATATTACTTCAAATAAAAATGGTTGCCTGTAAAGTCGGTTTTACGGGCGAAGATTTTACGTGACAACGTCTTTTTCTCGGTAGAATATTTATTGATATGAATATAATTAAATTGCACAATAGGAACAAGGAATTGAATGAAAATAAGAATTGCACAAATTTTAACTATAGAAATATATTTTGTTTACTAAAACATTGTACATGTAAACTTAAACTTAACACGAGAGACTCATCGTAACGTTACCGAGCGTTACACTTTTTCATAAGTGACTCCCAGCCGCAACCTAATTTAAGACGTTGTCACGTCAAAAACTGAAAAGAAAAAAACAAGTCCTGTAGCCTTTCAATCATAGCATAGAGTGGTTTGTACGCCGGGTTTCAAGGTGTCGCCTACTCGAGAGGTCCCGGGTACGAATCCCTGTGAGGGCAGATGTTTATGTGGTGAATACGAGCATGTATGTATGTATGTGTATTCTATCCATGACCCCATAACACAAGCCTACAGTGCTTACTTTAGGGCTAGGCTAATTGGTGTGAGTGTGGGAAATATGTATTATTATTATTTTTCTTTCGATCATATCAAAATTTTAATAAAACATTCGGTATGTAATTACACCTCATACACAACTGTCAGTGTCACTGGCTCGGTGATGGCTCGGGTACGCTGACTTTGGCGTAGTTATTTGTACAAGACAAATACGCTGGCGGTATCTAGTCGAGTGAAGCGAGACCAATCATTTATCTATGAGCAAACAGTATAATGTTAAAAAAAATGATTGCAAATACTGCAAACTCATACTAACGACTTTTCGAAACATAAAAAACAGCAAGTTCACAATGAATTTCCAAAGACTTTTCTGCCCGCTTAGCGCGTTAAAATGGGTTTCCTTTCTGATTTATTTAAAAAAAAAATAATGAAGCACTTTCCGAGTAGGTGTAGTATAAAATTATTTTTAGGCCAGCCGCATGTTAATATAAGATTTTCCAGATAACCGTCAGCATAATTGAATGCTTTGGCGGCGTTGTTTCATCCACGTTAAAAAACTAAGCCATCGGTTCACAAAACTACGGTGGGAAATCTTTTATGCTTGCACTTCACTTGACTATCCGTGTTTGCTGTTTGCAAAGTTAAGAACAGTCTGTCCTTTTCATTTCTTGCATGATAAGGACAGATTTGTCGAGTTTACAAATTAATAGAAAATACGAATAGCCAAGTACCGGAATTACTGAGAAGAAATGGAAAGGGAAAGGGAAAGGAAAAGGAATTACAAGAAACTCAAGGTAGGTTTCATAAATAAACATGGCGTAATCAGAGCACGGAAATATTTTATTATCTGTTTAATGATTATTAACAATTTATTTCTTAGAAGGGATATCGGGTACGTCGAATTCGCTGACCTGGGCGTCCACCAGCTGTTTGCTTCTAAGTTTCACGATCGCATGGCTCGGCACATTCGGGTCTTCCATCTCGAACTCTATGAGTCCTATGGATCATAAAAGAAATAAATATAATATATTTCATTATGATTTTTATTCATCATGGCGATAGAAAAAGTACGTTCTCAGAAAATTTAATAGGTGCGGACATATTTTACATCGTTTTAGATGCATTTTCAAATTTATACTGATACTAGCTGTCCTAGCGAACTACGTACCGCCATAAAAAATAGGGGTTGGTGGTAGAAGGGTGAAAGTTTAGGGTTGTATGTATTTTTGAATGATGTATCATAAAAAAAAACAAAAATATTTGTCCAAAAAATACATAATTTAACCAACCTTAACATTTAGTGGGATGAAAAATAGATGTTATCCGATTCTAAGAACTACTGAATATGCATATAAAATATACTGAATATTCAATTACGCACATCTTGACACGAGAATTTTATATATTAGATCTATAAAGAGGAAAGTTTTGGTTGCTTGTTTTTTTTTATTTGTTTTCGAAGAAGTTTAGGGCACTAATAGATGGCTGTGTTTGGATACTATTGAGCAAAGACAACAAAGCAACTCCGTTTTAAATTTCGCTGATTAACATAGAAGTACACTTTATTGAAATATCATTTTATTTATATCTAAATAATTCACAGAAACCAAATATGTAGATGTCAGATTTTAACTTTAAACGTTGTTGATCACCCTATAAGTATACAATACCAATCAATGGCGTTAATGTCGCAGGTTGACGAAAGCAATAATTCCGTCTGTTGTTTTGGACACTGGTGGCAACTGCTTTAGATGGCTAAATTAAATAATTATATAATCACCATTGCAAAGTTTATAAATTTTGATTAAACTAAAGACACCGAATAAAATTCCCATAGCGTTAACTACAGTACCCATAACTATCTCATTTATTATCAATTTATCACCTAATCTATAGATTTACATCATTGTCGTTCTCTTTTTAAGCGTTCACCAGATACAGACTTTCTGGTCTACCTCGTTTTAGGGTTTCGTAGTTCTGACAAGGAACCCTTATAGTTTCGTTATGTCCGTCCCCAGTTTTGCTCGAAAACTGTTAGCACTAGAGACCTGTTATTTTGTGGAGATATATATATCAATCATCCTGACATAAAGGTAGAAAAAAAATGGGTACCTAGATCCCCTACATGTGACCTGGAGATGATTTTATTTTTTTATCGTCTATCCCATCGCATGGGCTTCTTATGATTATTTTTCGATTTAGAGAACCGTTTGAAATATGGGCGTCCCCTCCCCTTTAAAAGCTAAACTATTGGCTTGAAAATCTTGGAAAAATTCATGATATGCTTTTAATGAACTTAACAAAAATTATAACGATTAAAACAGATTGTTAGTTTAAAAGTATTAGTCCAATTCAATTCAAGTTCCAATTATGTATTAGAAAATTTCTGACCTAATAAAAAATCGTAAAAATGACTGACGAAGTAATTGCTTAAAATATAGACACTTTCCAAATTAAATGTGGTGACAACGAGCAACTACGGAACCCTACACTGCGCGTGGCGACACGCACTTGGCTGGTTTTATTGGTAGTGTAAAGCTCGAATATAGAGTACTCCCACCTATCAAGGCTGCTACCAGCCTAGTGGGTATTGCAAATGGTGCAATCATAGCATAGCAATTGTTTTCCAAATATTTTTTCTACCTATAAACAAAATAAGAAAAGTATGTATAAATTAGCGAATAATTAATTACTACTTTTTTATTTTTCATCATTTAAATATTAATAATAATAACGTTTATTTTTGAACAAAGAGAAATACAGCTTTTGGATCACAATTCCCGGTAAGTATTATTAAATACTTATAGTGGAAATTCCCGCTCCCCCTAGATCAATTGACACTAAACTCATTTGTACAAGAAATAAAAGCTAAGAAACTATAAACAAAGCCTCTTATATGTGAAAATAACAGAAGTATGTAAAATTATGATTCTCACTATCTTTACTTATAAGTATTTTAAAGAGAATATTGTAATATTATAAGAATCCATTTCAAAAATTCATTATTTATTATTATTATATTTTCAACCATTAATCTCATTATCGTTGATTAACCTGCTCGATTAATAAATCTAAAGACAAAAAATTCCTTGGAAAAAAAACTCCTCCAAAAGGAAATATTTCTAGTAAAAAAAAACTTTATAACTACATAATAATTATATGAGTGACATAGGCTATATTTTACCGGGGCTAATAGCTAAATCGATTATGATGAATTTCCCTATAGAAATAAATGGGACCTTGGTTCTAAGCTACATTATCGAAATACTTATAGGGCTAGGGTGATGGAAGGGGTGATTTACCTATAAAACTTTATATTTTTAAAACTTTATACTTTATTTGCTTCGAATTTTACAGAATTATAGTTACAAAATCAACATTATCGTGAGCTGATTTATTAAGTAGATTATGTTAAGTAATCCTTTATTAACATGAAGTAAATTTGTTAAAATTAACTTTGAAAACAGTATAGTTATAAGGTTTTATTAAATTTAAATGACCGTAAGGTTATATAAATTATGTTAATAAATAAATATGCATTATGTTCATGAAAATTTTATTGTTTTTGCAGTGCAGGCTAAAATATCTCGCAGTTGGGAGATTTTTGCATCTTAAGTGACACTGATTGTTATATTTTGGCCAATTCATTAAATAGCTACAAAAAATATTATTTATATTTTATTATTACGTATGATATATATTATTGCTAAGTTTCCTTTAAATTCAATCAGTATTTTCGGATGAAAGAGTAACAAAGATTCATTCAAACGTAAGATTCAAATTAAAAGCGTGGTAAATATACAACTTTAAATCATTCTAGATCTAAAGCAGTCATAAAAATGAAAAATGGTGTAATGAACCTATAAATAATATTCGATTATCTAGACAATGAAACATAACTCGATACATTTCTTCAAAAAAATTTTTCTTTCTTTCTCACAATCTGGCGCCTAATTTTCCCTATATTGAATTTCGATTACTATTTTAAATTAAGACAAATCGATTGACGTATGAATCATCAAAATCGGTCCACGCATTTGGTTTCTAGTGTGCCACAGGGGAACATACATACATATATAGACTAAGAAAAAAACTATACCCTGTCTGCGCGTCGCGCTTCGCGCTCGTGCATTGCGCATTCGGGTAAAAATGAATATAACCCTTTTAAATTGCTTTTTTGTCTTCATCGTAAAAAAATGCTGTTACCTTAAATAAAATTTTGAACTTAATTGATGACTCTGAGTGAGGTGCGACAGCAACTATTAAATGCCTATCAATGCTTTGTACCCATTAGTGGGGAATATGCGTTGATATACTAGACGTCAACAGCTGGCACATATTAAGTTTTTATGACACGCTCTTAGCCCGGCATAACTTCTAAAGTTATTTTATATATAACTAGTCAGTGGGCACTCATCAGCGTGATAAATTGGTTACCCATACAAACTTCCACCCCCTTTTCAGTCCCTTCAAGGATGTTTTATGGGATAAAAGCTCCCTTCCCTAGGACTCAAGCTATCTCTGTACCAAATTTCATCTTAATTGGTTTAGAGGTTTAAGTGGTATGAGATAAGTAATTTAGTAGTATTAGTAATAAAAGTAATGTTAGAAATAAATTCAGTGACTAATGTTATGGATTATTTACTAGAATTAATGACTGAATCAAAAATTCGAAGTATAATTAAGGGAAACCCTGAAAAGTTGCCGCCTATTGAGGTTCCTTGGAAACATCGAGCCGACAATTTAATACGTACTTAAACGCTCGAGGAAATACTAATTCGTTTAAATGTTGGTGTGTTCTATGAGCTTTGTAGGCAATTTAATCAAGTCCATTTTCATTAAAGGCTATTATAATTATTTGATTGATTCATTTGGAAGTATATTCCATTTCCAATTTCATGGATCATTAAGCTCGGTGGAGCATTATGATTTCAATAATGCTGCCTTTTAATGTTGACGAATGGTGAGTACCTACAATTATACCTTTGATTATTATTAACTGTCTAGATAGAGCGTGGCAGCGCAGATGCGTTGAAAATATATCTCCCATCAGGTGGGGTCTAAGTCGTTTCCAGTCATTTAGTGTTCAATGCAACGCTGAGCAACACGCACGTCAATTGCCGTGTTTCGTATTGAAACTAACTAAGGTAAATTTAAAAACTCAAAGAACCTGACTGTTTAAATATTACTTCAAATAAAAATGGTTGCCTGTAAAGTCGGTTTTACGGGCGAAGATTTTACGTGACAACGTCTTTTTCTCGGTAGAATATTTATTGATATGAATATAATTAAATTGCACAATAGGAACAAGGAATTGAATGAAAATAAGAATTGCACAAATTTTAACTATAGAAATATATTTTGTTTACTAAAACATTGTACATGTAAACTTAAACTTAACACGAGAGACTCATCGTAACGTTACCGAGCGTTACACTTTTTCATAAGTGACTCCCAGCCGCAACCTAATTTAAGACGTTGTCACGTCAAAAACTGAAAAGAAAAAAACAAGTCCTGTAGCCTTTAATTCTGTTAAGTAAGAAACAAAGCTTCATTAATAATCAGGACCTATTAGATAATTAAGAATGGATAAAAAAATTCAATAACGGGTCCCGACTGTTAATTTAGCTTTGTTCCTAAGGTGTGAAAAATTGGCATTGTTATTACGAAATAGCTACTATCCACAGCCTACCAATATTATCATTAATTTTAGTGGTGTATTCCTTATTTCCAATAACAACACTGCAACGACGTGGCATTGATTCAATCAATTTCATACATTTTTCTAGGTGAATTGAATTCCATGCTTCAACAAATGCTTCATATAGTTCGTTTTGACTGGTGTTACGTTTGTTTAAGACTTTCTTTTTAAAAATATACTAGATACTTTCTATGGGGTTTAACTCCGGACTATTTGCTGACCAGTCTAAATCGGATATACACTGTTCGCTAAGGAAACATTTGACACTATTGGTCGTGTGTTAAGGTTATTGTCATGCTGAAAGATCCAGGTTACAGGCAAATGATCGTCCGAGTAGGTAATCATGGTGTGCTCTAAGATATTTTTGTATTGCCATTGATAAATTAGACCTTCAATCTTATAAATAATAATAGTCAGCTAAACAACTACTTACATCGTTACGACATTATTTTTTCTGGATATCAATCTAGTTATGCTCAATCTAAGGCTCTTTCACTAGATAGAAATTGAAAAGCAACGAACTATGAATAATATGATATGAATAACGACGCAATAGAAGTATGGCGAAATATCGCAATAAAGCATCCGATATTATCGACCAATAATAACGCGCCTATAAGCTGGGAGGCTTCATCCTATTTATGTTAATAAAATAATGACAATATGCACCTATTAGTCGTTATAAAATACTAGTTTATGGTTTTCAGGTAATTCGCCTGATGGTTGATTTTGTAATGGTCGATTACATTTTTTTTTTCATGAAGCGTAGAATTAATCTACGTTTCTGTAAAAATGTATGCCCGATTTAATAAAGCCCTATCATTGGTGGACTCAGAGCTTATGATGATAAGGATTGTTGAAGCGTTACTGTTTGCTTACCTCCTTCCGCTATTACTTCGTCTTTGTAATTATCACGCATTGATCTCGCTAGAATGTTGTGGTAGAAGAGTTTCGCGTTGGCCTTGATTTCAGGTGTCACCTCCATCCTGGACACAGCTTGTATCAGCACGTTCAGCTTCTGACGAGCGATTAAGATCAGCTTGTCGACTGGAAAGTATAAAATTTCAAGGGTCACCTTCTGAAATAGTTAAAACATTATTTTTAACAACCAAAAAACGCAGTGAATTTCGCACCAGTTTATAAGGTCCAAAAACTAAGGAAGTTTGTATACGACTACTGGGTGTCGATTCTGCTAAGCTTATGCAAAAGTCGTGTCTCTGTAGTGGTTCAATAGCATTTCTTTTTGATAGTCCTTGTTTTTTTTTGTATTTTAAATGCATAATTATAGAGAAAAATAACAAATGAATAAGCATTTCTTATGTTAAAAGGGGCAAACAAGCTTTAGGCCCGCCTGATGATAAGCGGTCACCATAGCCTAATAGACGCTAGCTATACCAAAAATATCATTCGCACCGTTTTTTACCCTGATCCAATCACTTACCCCGTCAAGCCCTGGAACCTTACTCACCGACAGAAACTGAACACCACCAAAATGTAATGTTGTTTTACTGTGATCTTTACGTTAATGATCCAGTCTTAGGCTGCGATTTCGCCAGAATTGTGTGAGAACGATGAACGAAGCGAGGATTACATATCCTGCAAGCAAAGCTGTAAGCGAGGAAGATGAGGGCGTATTTAGGCACCCAAGGGCAACGGGGACCATGGCCCGGGGCGGCTGCAAGAGTTGCAAGGGGCGCCAGAAGGCATATAAAGACATTCGTTACTGTCCTTTATTTTGATAGGATTTACAAATTCTAGATAGTACACTTACTATGTCCAGGGAGCCAGATTTTAAAATACGCCCCTGGAAAGATGGATGGAGCGCGGAGGATGTGGAGCGAAGTTGTGTCAGTTTTGATTTTGATTATCTCGCTTGCCTGCATTCGTAGCACATATTTATGCCTCGCACACATTCCTCACTTGTTTGTACATATGAATGTACAAAAACTTCGCTCCGTTATGCCTATGTTAGAGCTATGCTGAAGTGCTATTCTGTAAGAACTTTTCAATTTTGCCACTCTTTGAAATTAGAATACAAATTGAATAAAATTATATTGTAAAAGTAATAAAATTTGTATTCTGATTTCTAACCACACGAGGATTCCGCAGTAAAAAGTTAGTTTGTTCTTACAGAATAGCACTGCGCGGCAACAAGCGACAATCAACGCGAGGGATTTCGTCTCTTACAAACACATTCCTTCGCTATGCCTCCGAACACATATCTGGTCGAAACGCAGCCTAAATTAGCAATTATTCTGTTGCTATCATGAAGAAAGTGCATATACACACATCAAAAGTGTCTAGGGATCAAGCATTTTTATGCGGATTTCTTGAGATTGAGATGTGGCTTTGTAATAAATTTATGATTTTATAAATTTATATGGATCCTTTTTGGTGCATTTCATAATTTGAATCAGGAACTGTGAATCAAATTCGAGTAAAAGATGAAAATCAGCTGTCAATATTTTCCCTATAAAAACATACAACGCATTGAAGACATTATTAGTGCTACTGTTTCCCTACTACTGATTAAAACCAACGTTATTATGGAGCGGCGACGTCATTTAAGCAGGGAAGAAATGCTCAGAGCCGTGGGAATGATAGAAGCTGGTTCCCGGCAACGTACTGTGGCTTTAGCTCTGAATACAAGTCAGAGTGTTATCAGTCGACTTTGGACACGATACCGAAGCACTGGTACCGTGGCTGAGCGCCATGGAGGACGGTATCGCTGCACCACACGGAGACAAGACCGATACATTCAAATCTTAACTCGAAGAGCTCCAACAATAACCGCCATGATGTTAGCCGTGAGGCTTCATCACTCTTCAGGGAACTTAATTAGCGACCAAACAGTCAGAAACCGCTTGCATGAAGTGAACCTTCATTCCCGAAGACCGCTACGGGTACCACCTATAGCAATGCACAATCGTAGGATTCGATATCAATGGGCTCTTGAACACAGAAATTGGGCAGAAGAACAATGGCGTTTCGTGTGCTTTTCTGATGAGTCTCGTTTTGGTATGAGACCGGATACAAGACGTATACGACACTGGAGAACCCCTGGACGCCAACAGCGATTAAAATCCTGCCAGGAAGTCCATCCTTATAGTGGTGGAACCATCATGGTATGGGCGGGTATTTGGATCGGCAGAAGAACTGAGTTGATTTGGATCAGAGGCAACCTCAACGCTCAAATTTATGCTGAGACGATTGTATCAGACGTCATCGTTCCTCTACAAGTGCAAATCGGTCCCTTATTTCAGTTAATGCATGATAATGCACGACCGCACACCGCAAGAGTTGTAAGACAGACTCTCGCCGCAGCTAACATCAATGTCCTGCCCTGGCCTGCTCAGTCGCCAGACTTGAACCCGATTGAGCATGCATGGGATATGCTACACAGAAGAGCTCTGCCGAATATGGAGGGTATCCAGTCGCAAGAAGACCTTTTTTTGTTGTTGCAACGAACATGGGCGGCCATTCCACAGCGTGATTTGGATGAACTCATTTTGAGTATGCCAAACCGATGTTCTTGTGTTGTTAGTGTTCGCGGTAGAAATACGGATTATTAATTGTTTAAGTTACCCAATAAAATTTTAGAGAAAACTGTTATTTCAGTCTTTTTTCGAACTTTTGTGTTAGTGGTTCAAATGTCAAAAATCCCTTTATTAGGAAAATGGCAAATTTCTTTATTAATGCAAAGGTGACTTGGTTTATCGTTACTGTGACAAACGAAAACACTTTATTTGATGAATCCTTAAAGAAAATTTTAATTAATATCAATCAGGAGAAAAGTTATTGCAAAAATATATGTTGATCCCTAGACACTTTTGATGTGTGTATATTAAGTTGATTATACTTTTGAACTATTTTTGAAATAAATTATTCTAATCCAGGACTTTTTACCTTAGAAAGCAGGATCGCTCCCATTGGTAAAAAAAAAATTATGTTAATAATTTAATTCAAATCTCTTTTAGCTATCAGTTTTCATAGTAGGTACTTTTTACTGCAACCATAAAATTACTTAAAAAAAGACGGGAAAAGTTTCGAGTATTAGGCCTAGTAAATTCATGCGAAACTTGAAATTCGAATGTCACATCAGCAAACAACACCCGGCCGGAATGTGACATCAGATTGATCAATGTTTTAGCGCGCTTTCCTCGTTGGTATTCCATGCTATGTCTGCTCATGTGTCGTATCTGATAGCAGATCGAAACGGCACCCGAACAATCTATCTACACAACAAACATACATGAAATCAAATAGGATTTTAGGATCAGATTAATATGAGATTACAATCACAGAAAATAACTAAAAAATATCGGCCGGTGGCAGGAGTTGGTGGAACGGCAAAACATTAAGTGTCACAAATGTCAATAAAATAAATAAACTAAAAATAGATAAAAACGGAGCAAAATTAATGAAAACAAATAAGTAACAGAATATAGAGAAATGCCGGTAAGTGTCCAGCACTCTGGAATAGTGATTTTCAGTACAGATGGAATTATTATACGTATTTACAAAATGATGAATAGTGTGTGATATTTTTGAAATTATGTGTTTCCAGGAATACATAATAAAATATATGATGATCCCTGATGAATATCGATGATGTTATATGATAAAATGTGCGAAATGGAACCTATGATAGTCGAAACCATGGAACGATTGCTGAGGTACGTTACACCATCTTAAAAAAATATAAAAATGAATAAAGATTAATTAGATCTAAAAGAAGTACATTATTTATTATTAATAAATACTAGCAAACCAGTGAACCAAATGTTCACCAAAAAAAAAATCTATTTAATTAATTGAGAACTTCGGAGATTTTGTGTGGTTTCGTTTGAAATAGAAATCACGTGATTTCTCGAAAACCGGAAGTGCTACGTTACTCACATCCGGTTTGTAGTCTTATCAGACTATTCTCAACTTATAACTAAAACATTCTCTTTATCTATCTCTTACGGTTTGGCCGCTGAAACAGCACCACGGACGGACGGACGGACGGACTTGTCTAATAGATAAGAGATATTATTTTGAAAATTGGTACTTACAACTTTGTTTTATTTTACTCATAAAAACATTAACGATATGTATTTATAAACAGAACCGAAAGGAGTCGGCATTTTGTAATTAACTCCTTGTAACGTAAATCATCATCCGTCATTTTTTAAAATATAGATTACGATCTATTAAAAAAGAAAATCACAATATACGAAATTCACACAAAAAATATAACAACCATCAGAAGCAAGCAACAATCAAAGCTTGGCAAATAAACTTAGATTAAACTACGAATTTGTAGCAGTAGAGTAAATTTTGAACACGTAAGAGCTGAGGGCCACCAACTGATTGGATTTTCTTGTTTTGTAGTCACTCAACCGAGCTCAAAATTTTGTACGTACTCCTAAAAATTACTTCTTCTCGCTGGACTTTTTTCCCATTTACTTATAGTCCGGGAGCCACCAATCCTGAGCGCCGTGATCATGGATTCTAATATTTTTAATAAAAAATAAAAGTTAACGTTTAGACGAACAAGATTTGCTTGGTCGGAGTGGATTTGATTGGCCGGAAATATTTTGATTAAATTATTTATTATTTAAATTTCCATATTTTTTTTCCGTCATAACGGATTTTGATCAATCTTATATAGAATTTTGTGTGAAATATTATGTTTTATAAGAAAAAATCCGGCCGACCAATGATTTTTAGCCGGAAAAGTCACGCATACCTATTTGAATGGTGTGATAAGGGGTAAAATTTATCCGTTATCACGGAAACCTTGTTTTTTCTTTTTAATTCACGCGTTTTTATCATCAAAATTATCATTTCGCTCTTCTTCTGATTCTTCGCTTTCTTCCTCATTCTGTTGGCAACTTAATATTGCCACAACCTTAAACGATGCTGGTGGGCCAATGTACCGCAATGGTTCGAGTTTCCTGGATTCATTTACTTGCCAACCACATTCTGTTGGATCATATAATGTACAAAGAGGTTCAATAGCATTTTGCCACATTGCGTTTACAAAAATGGTGCTTAATATT